GTAAACAATGAAACAACGTCTAAGGAAAACATCCGATAATCCTGGACGTTCATTTCTCGAATTACGTTGACAAACTGGAATGTATCTGCCAGTCTATGAGGAACAATCATTTGCCCGATGGGATTCAGCATTTTCGTCAGCCATTGCGCAAAGTTGTGATACGGCGAATTCCTCATATCTAGTATGGGTCTCACCGGTGTGTCAGGTTTATGTGTTTTTGGGAGTCCATAAAGGCGAGGAGTGGTGGAGCCTATAGGACGAAGTCGGTCGTACCTTTCTTTGGTGTTAGCGCCTTTGACCAATTGGTTTTCTACACAGTCCGTTTTCTCTCTTTCTGAACTTTATGTATAACTGTATATATAAATGGTCCTTCTGCAAGCGATCACAGAAGGGTTAAGTTAGAAGGTGGGAATGAAAGTTGGGTTTAGATACTCAATGAAAACAATCTGATCAGTCGCCTGTCCGGAGATTACATCTCAATATTTCTTGGTTTTCCTTATTCATCTATTGTAACACATCTGCAAACGGCATCCTTCGAGATCATATATGGCCCGTTCCTTAGCCAAACAATTTTTTCGTCAACCTGGATGTTTAGAATGTGTGTCATCTTTTCAATTGACAGATAGACCTTAATCACTTTCTTGGATATGCACAAATGTTTAATGTATCCTTAGAGAGTTTGTTCCATACTTGGTACCATATATAAGAAGGTAAAATTTTCCTGAATCTGAGCAATGTGACTGCCACATCCGGTGTCTCTGAGTTGCGGGTCTAATCATCGGATGCTTTACGCCACGAACTGTCAACTGCAAAAGCCTTCAAGCTACATTTGCACAAATCAGTAAGTGTAGCGCATCAACACTCAAGCAGAGATCATATACTAATTTTGCATGTAATCGGTGTTCTATCAAAGTTAGCAGTTGTCATAATATCCCGACCAATTTCTTATCCTTACAATACAATTTTTGTGTTTGCTAACATCTAGTGAACTGGAATATCTCGACCCTAAGTCACGGCTAGTAATACAACTGGGAATAATCTCATCATAAAGTTTGAACAATCTCGCCTTTACTTGGCATCCATGTACCATGATATTTCACTTGGACGTAGAAAACCTTATCCACCACATTACACCCCAGCTGTCACTAGTTTTAAATCACTTTGGTTGTTGTCTTTTGCGACTGTATATTTAAAAAGTTAGGAACACACTATTGACCAAATCACCTGCAAACTGGTAGGTTTTACCGAATTGGAACAATGGAACAATGGATTTATGCGGGTATAAGAGCTAAAGCTTGACAAATCCCGTAGGGTGATCAGTGCGAAAATCATAGAAGTGTGAAAAATTCAATGGAAACCAATTCAGTAAAATCGTTTAACAACGAGTCACTACAAGCTTGTGGACTCACCGCGTTTGAAGTGTCAAAATAATAATCCACTATAACTCCGGAGGGGATCATGAGATATGGAGAGTATTTGGTAAAAAGAGTCACCGCCCCTTGAAATTCGCGTGTGGCAACGTGTTTGAGTTTGAAGCGTCAAAATATGAATCCACTGTTGAAATAAGCGTGGGGGAAAATTATTTTTAAAATATGGATTTTGGATCTCTCAAAATTAGACTGTACTATGGGAGATAGTGTAATGAAGTGAGTGCACTATCAACTCGATTTTTGAGCTCGATCAGGTTTGGTGCACTGACTACAGATTCTGGGAGAGCATTCCAGGCTTGGCAAACACGCACGGAAAAGAAATTCCGTCGACATTCCAAACGGCTGTACTGCACTGCCAGCTTCAGATGATGGCCTCTCAGGTTGTTGTTGTTACTGAGCTCCAGCAGATGGCGGCAGGTATGATTGGGGTCTGTCAGAATCTGATAAGCCAAAATCAAATCTCCCCGTAGTCTTCGATATTGACCACTAAATATCCCGAGCGATCTCAGTCTGTCTTCGTAGCGTAACTGGCCTAAACCTTTCACGTTCTTCGTTGCGCGTCGTTGAGGTTTCTCTAAATCAGAGAGGTCTTTCCTCAGCCACGGCTGCCAGACTTGTATTGCATACTCCACGTGTGGTCGTATGTATGCACCTAGAAGTTGGTGAAAAACGGATGGATCGAAGCGTCCAAATGTGCGCCTGAGAAGGCCCAAATTTCGAATGCTCGCGTTCGATGCTTTCTTTGCCTGGGCTGAACAACCCAGGTCGGACTGAATCAAGACTCCTAAATCCTTTTCCTCAGCAGTTGTGTGAAGCACATGGTCACCCAGTTTATAGAAAAATGCTGATTGGTGACGTAAGTGTAATACTCTGCATTTTTTCTGTGTTGAATGGGAGTTGGTTCTGAACTGACCACGCATATACCTTATCCAGGTCCTCTTGAAGTATTGCGGAGTCGTCTGGTGTATTGATCGCTCTCCAGACCTTGATGTCGTCGGCATAGAGTAGGCAGTTGGAAAGAATGAGGGCCGCTATATCGTCAATATACATCAAAAACAATCGTGGCCCCAGTACCGATCCTTGTGGTACACCACATTCGACTTGGATTGGGTGGGACAGGGACCCACGCACTTTTACCTCTAAGCTCCGGTGGAGAAGAAAGCTTGTGATCCATCCTAGGAGCGGATCACCAATGCCAAAGCTCTGAAGTTTGCAGATCAGGATTCCATGGTCTAGTCGATGGAAGGCCTTTGAGAAATCTAGGTACACCACGTCCACTCCTGCACCGCTGTCAATTAATTTGGTCCAACTCGATCTTGCTAGCATCAGATTTGTGGTGCACGATCGATTCCGTCGAAAACCATGCTGTTCATGTGCCAGGAAGGCAGACTCTTCTAGATAGGCTGTTAATACGTCAGCAACAATAGCTTCCATAACCTTCGACAGGACCGGGAGAAGGGTTACAGGACGGTAGTTGGCTGGATCAGAACGGCTACCGCCCTTGTGAATTGGGGTTATGATCCCACATTTCCACATCTCGGGTACATACATCTGATCGAAGCAGCGTTGGAAGAATCGTGCCAGAGGCTCTGCTAAACTTTCTCCCATTACCGCAAGGGACTTAGGGTGAATGTTGTCGATTCCAGGAGAGCTGTGCTTACGCATACACAACAACTTCTTTAATACCATCCCCGCCGTGAAAGTTATGTGCGTAAGTTTTGGTTGTATAACAGCTGCTGACAAAGGAACAGATGACCAAGGAATGCATTGAAAGTTCGAAGCATATTGCAGCCGCAAGGCGTTCGCCGCATCCTCCGTAGTCAGCGTCATGCCATCTGGCGTTTGAAGAGGAGGGATTCCCCGTTTCACCTTGCGCAGGTTGTTTACATGTTGGTAGAGCAGCTTATGATTCGAAACCATGCGCTCCGTCAGATGCTGCTGGTATGTCAGTTTATCCTCACGAACGAGTTGAGTGCAATGATTACGTTGAATTGCATAGGTCGTCCAGCTCTCCGTGCTCGGGTGTTCCTTATAGATACGCCAGGCCGAGTTCCTCACTGCCATACATTTCCGTGTCCTACTTCGCACAAATGAAACAGTCTTCTTCGAGTGGACAACCTTAGTTTCGGATGCCTCTTCCACGAGAGTGCTAAATTGGTTGACGAAATGTGGCCATGCGATTGTCGGTACTTCGTCTGTCAGAAAGTTCCAGTTGGCTGTCTCTGCAAGTCGAGCCAGCTCATCGTACCGTATGATAACTCGGCTTTCCCGTATAGTATCCGCAGGGTATTCTGCGTAGCATATATAATCGAAGAGTAAAACTGCATGATCGCTGCAACCCAAAGGAGCGTCGATGATTACTTTCTCGACCATGAGTTCTTCGTTGGTAAATATGCGATCCAGGATGGACGGCCTTTCTGCTGCTCTGAATCTGGTGGGATTGTCGATATGGCCATAAAGCGGAAAACTGGAGACAAGGTCTTGTAGATCCGCTTTGAACTGTTCCGTAGGTGTTGCTTTGGCATCCAGAGCGTGGATATTGAAGTCACCAGCGATAAGAATATGGCTGTATCTCCTGCTGATCACAAGCCTCAACGCAGACGCGAGGTTGAAGTCCATCTCGGATGACAGATATGAGGTCATTTGCGTACAATAAAAAGGGTAACGGTCCAAAATTGTTACCCTGCACCACTATTGGTAGTAATATTGGATGTAGCGGTGCTCCTACTTATATCCACACCCTCCAATCTTCCAACTAGGCACGATTAGAGACAAGACAGACGGATTTATTACTCAGTTTATGACTGTGTTCTGTGGGGAACCTTGTCAAGGGCTTTTGCATGTCAAGAAATATGGCTATACAATGAGACCCTAAATCAAGCTCATGAGTTAGATGGTTTAATAGTAGACCGACTTGGTAGGTATCTCACGTAAGCGGAACTGTATGGTGCGAATGCTAGAGACGGTGCCCTAACAGGAAGGAAAGTGGATGCTCACTCTACCATTCATAATGGATGACAGTGTGTATTCTCGCTCGGTAGTTAAGGTTATCCGTTTTTGGCGCGCAACAACAACGATGTTTTGCCCACGCGAATTCGCTGCTTTGTCGTCAAACTTTTCTGCCGTCTGTACGATCTCACAAATTACTGGCCTCTTTTTACCGATTAACCTTTATTCTTCAATTGTGTGGTCCCATAATGATGGAAACTAAGTTTATTTTAGCCGTATGATAGTAGTATATCATGGATGTATTGTTGAGACTTGCCACACGCTTCCTGTTGTGGTTAGGGGTGTCCAGCCTTTTCGGTTTCATTGTAACTAAAAGAGTTTTACTTGTCTACGCGTATTTTAATACTCTCATCCATCCATCCTGCACCTTTTATTGACGACAACACACCTCTTCAAGGTATTGCCTATTTCTGCAATTTACCACGATTATTATTGTTGATCTCCCGTGCGTCTCTTCATAAATCACTCGCTCCAATTCCAGCGTCATTTAGTTGACCTTTTGTCTATGTACCCCTTTCTCGTAATCGTCCTTGACCTTTCGGCGTTCCCATTACCTTTCAGAACTCCATTGCTTTCGAGATCCCGAACGATGCACCGATTGGTGGAGTGCGTCGTCTTCCTCAGCGTCGTGTGCCTCCCTCAACACGTATCCGCCGTAACTGCGCACTCCCTGACCCCAAGCGCACTCACACCACCAACACAGTCGTGTAAATAAATAAATAAATTGTATATTTTCGTTTTCGACGAGATTCACTTGTGACGATATATTCGGGTAGATAGATGCGTTTTGTAGTTCAGCGACCACGAATGATGGGAAAATGTACAACAGCAATGAAATCGATTTTCAATTTTGGCGGGGTATAAAAGTTGTATTTCATTTCCCCGTGTTGTCTTATGTTGCACTGGATGTCTAAGTCAGGTTTTGTAGCTCTGTTGAGAATATTAATACGGAAATGTATAAAGTGGGCATCAATTTACTTTAAGCACATTGTGATGGTTGCTTTGTTCGAGGCTATTAAGTAGTATCAAATGTAGATAGTGTCACTCACATAAAGCTGGAACAAGAAAAGCACCTATAATAGATACATGTAGGAGTATACTGCAATAAGACTAGTGGGAACATCGACAATGAAGGCGGAGAATGTGGATGGGTATTTGATTGACTTCCGCCCTCATTACGCATTTGCTGGTTATAACTATCGTTGGCATAGCCGTGTGGGAGGAAGAAAAAAGATATAGACTGTAGGTGTAGGGGTCTCTCCCACTGCAATATTTGCTCTCAGTTGTAGACTGGTTTCTGTATCATATAAATCCTCCGCCTTGTTCGCACGATTGTCTATTTGTTATGTGACATCCCACTAGGTGGACAACGTTTTGTACGGTTAGGTATCTGCTTTTCTTTTTTTGAAATTCCTATTCTGCATTGCAAGCACGTATATCGGGTTGTAATATGTGCATGAATCGTGCATATCTGTCAAGGAAGAGGTTAGTGGATCTGATGCCTTCGACCCGTATCCCACTACAGAATTTTCCTTATCTCATGCGTTGTATGATATGTATTGTATCGCCATGGTAAAGTTGCCAACATGCAATATTTTGTGCAGAACGTTATAGAATACGGTTAGGTTGTGATTCATACGCCTCAACCAGAGGGGATCAAGCTTGAGTTTCTCACATCATCCGGAATATGCAAATTTAGATGAGGTACCTACTAGGTGCTTTGTAACTGTTCGTCGTACATTTCCTTAGTACAATACGATCTCGTTGGTTTGCGCTGCCGTACACCATTGAGCAGTATTCCAAAAGGGAAGGTGAAACTGATGAATATGCGCAGAGTATAGATACTTTTGATTTGTATGTTCTAAGTAATACACTATTGCTTTGTCTGATCTCTGCAGTGACGTAAGCTACTTGTTCGGAGAAGTTGATCGAGCGTGAGTATCTCAGTCCCAAGTCCCGAACAGTTTAGAATATATCCATTGACTTATCACAAATGGTCAGGCCGCTATTTGTTATGTCACATTTGTAAGACGTAGTGTAACACTTGTAAATAACATTCCTCATCTCGAGCCCGGGTTCCGAGCGCGTGGAAGTCGGGTTGGATCATAGTGAAAAGTGTAGACAATTTCGATGTCGACAAATATGTCGTGTTCCGAATTTCACTGCGTCAAATATATCGCTAATGTACATCCAATAGAAGAAAGCCATCCCCTACTACACCGCTTGTGACTACTGTTTCAGATTCGTGTTCCACCGCTACGTGCGTTCTATTTGTAAGATACAATCTAAACCACGAAAACTGGGATTCCCCGATTCCCTACGACATCATTTTATATCCTAGTTTTCCTTGTGCCACACGATCAAAATCTTTGCGCATGTCGAGGTAAATAATAACGTATTTTCTCGGTTTTACGAAACTTGCCGTTTCCGGCATAATCAGAATTTCACAATTACAACCATAGAAGTGAACATATGCATTCAAATGGTGATAGGGTTGCAACAGATTTCAAAGAAAAATGGAAGCAGTGAAAGGATTAATTAAAGTAATGCAGCCATTCCTAGATCCGTCTCCTGGGAACCTGCATCTTTGCAGGTAGTCCCGTCGCACTTCCACTCCCATCTGGTACTGTTTCGGTGTGGCTTATAAGCATGCACGCCATCACCATTATTATTCATCTCTCAGGCCATTCTTATATTCGATAATGATAGGAACTGCAATTAAATCTGGCTGCGTTCCGATATCACCTGGATTCATCCAGGTCATCACCGCTCCAACTATTTTTGGGGCCATTTTTTATGCAATTATGATGGCAACTTCGGCCCATTTGTCGCTTCTGAGTATGGCTCTTTTTTAACGCCAGTGGGTTTGCAGGCAGTTCGCCTTGTGTTCGCACACTGACCATTTTGGAAGCTTCACTTTTTTCATATCATGAGATAGGCCAAATCATAACCAACGATGGAAGAAGAGTAAAATAAAATGACCAATAATAAAAACAGTTATGTAATTCCTTAGACCACGGTACATACTCCCTTTGAGGAGTTCGATTGGTTGTTACAGGCGTTTTGTGTGATGCACAGTGAATCACATAGCGGCAACGTAGCGCCAAATGCAGATGCTACATACAAGTCATTCTGGCATGTGTATAGCAGGAAAGAAGGGAAAAATGCAATTCTATTTTTGTCAAACCGGTACGAATTATGTATGTTCCAACGATAAATCGAACGACTCCATTGCTTCCTTCAATTTGAGTAGTACATCTTTGAAGAGACGAGGCTTTATGAAGTGCGGGTGGAGTACCGAACAATACGAAAAGACAGAAGAGAGGTGGGAGCGAAAGATGGATGGTAGATATTATCAGATCAGCATTCAAATACATACTCATCCGCGCAATCGAGGCAAAACAATTCTTTGATGTTCATTACAGTTAGGTGGTTGTTTAGTTGCTTTTTATATTCCCAAATGGAAGCGGAACTTCTGATGGCTTGGGGTAGTCTATTCCATAGCAGTAAATGTTTACACCTAAAGGAGTTGCATCGGGGTCTCCTGCGATATCTTGGTATTTTTAATACCATTTTAATTTCTCAAGGTTTGACGAAGGTTCTTGGAATTCCGGCTCGTAAAACTATCTATGCGTCTGTCGATGGACAAATTTGTAATGCAGACATAGATTTAGTTTCAACCTTCGTAGCCACAATGGCTCGAGTTTTAGTAGGCTGCATCTATCTTCGTAAGTGTGACACGCAAATCTTTCAGTGAACGATCTCTGAGTTGTTTCAATTTCCAATGTATCACATTTTATTATAATGATGTAGGTGGTTGTACGGTATTCTACAATAGGTCGGGCATAAACAATGAATGGCAGGAGTTTTGCATCAGTTTTTATAAAAAAGCGGCTCAACATTCATATGGTATATTGTGCTTTATCTGCGAATTGCCTAATTTGTTCTTGAAATCCCAAATGTACGTGAGTAACGCAGATCCAAATCGCAGCTGGAATCACCTATGGGAAGTGACAGATTCTACAGAGTAGGAATTCCTAATGGAACACAGCATCCCTGATGCTTCACTTCGTCTTCAAAAAGCTCGTTGCGGAACTGGAGCACCACTCTTCCAAACGGACCATGTCTTTTTGTTTTTCAGAAATAACATAAGATCTTTGTGTTTCCGCAGTATATACAATTTTCATATCATCAGCAAAGATAATGTCTCCCTTTCTTTCTTACTGGAAACAGATCGTGTATGTGTATCAGGAAAGTAATAGGCCCGAGTACAGTGCCTTGTACTACACCACTAGTAATCTTCCCTGTACCTGATGAGTGATTGCGTAGCCTGACTAGCTACCTCCTGACAGTGAGGTATGCATCTATCCAAGCTAACAATGAGCCTGTTATATCACTGTTGCGAAGCTTAGGAATAAGTAGTTCGTGTGGAACTTTCTAAAATGCCATGTTTATATCCATGTGAGTTACAGTACTAGCCTTACCGGAGTCAATCAAATTGGTTGAGTTTTCGAAAAACTAGCTGACTAGTGGTAGCTGAACGTATTTAGAGAAAACCATATTGGAGACGGATGGTTGTTCAGTGTTAAGAAGTCGACGATTTCCTTCTTAACGATGCGTTCCATAATCCTGAAAATCAAGAGTGTGATTTATAGGCCAATAGTTTCTGATATCATGTCTAGACCGGGTTTCATAACGTGGCGTTACTCTTGTCAGGTTCCATTGCTCACGATGGAGACCAGATCTCATTAGTTTTGTAAAAATAATTCGGTAACTGAAACGGAGTGTTATCACCGTCATACTCTAATAGTGGCGAAGCTATTCCATCTGGACCCGGGTAAAAGGCAAATTTTAACACGCCAATTTGGCGCCTAATAAAAGTAATGTTGAATTAAATGTAAGAAATACACGGATCCGTATACGACATGGATTGTACTGTCAGTAATACGTTCGTAATTGTGAAAGTGTCAACGAAATAGCAGTTGTACCCTTCCGACATAGCAGCAGGAGTATCAATAAGCACTCCTTCATGTGTGATGATATATAACAGCCGGTTATGTTATGTACCGTTCCTCTTTTGTTAGTAATCCTGTTATCTCGGATAGTTTGTTGATATCATTTAACAAATATGTCTGTTCCTTTTGGAGGCGACGGATACTTAGGTTTTCATTTCTAAGTATCAGCCTCTGCAATCAGAAGAGCATTGCTAATTCTGTTATCTTTTCAAAACATTTACAACGTCTTGAACTTGCGCTTATGTCGTTTTTTTGCTATGATACAATTAGTCCGTGATGCTAGTTAGATCGGGCGACAGCGTTTCAGAACAACGGCTCACGTTCTCATAGAATTCTTGAAAGGGCAATAAAATAGTGTCCCAATCAGAGAAACGCACTAAGATAGAAATTCTTCCCCGTTTTTTGGAGAACCAGATGTGAATTCAAGGCTCAGTCTGCAACTAACAACATTATGACCACTGCCACAAAGACAGTCCAGAATGCCGATGGTGACAATAAGTGAATGTAAGATCTAGAATTCTCTGCCCTAGTGTGCAGGCGGTTGAATGTTGGGCACATCCTCCATCATGCAGGTAAATTAGAAGCTCAGCTTGTTTCCCGAAGGCTTTGTGTTCAGTTTATGAATTGTTTTGCAAGTTGAAATGCCCTCCACTGGGTAAGTAACTCAAAAGCATAACTCACGGAATTCTGAAGCGT